TCCATCCATCCATCCATCCATGCATCCATCCATGCATCCGTCCATCCATCCATCCATCCATGCATCCATCCATCCATCCATCCATCCATCCATCCATCCATCCATCCATCCATCCATCTATCCATCCATCCATCAGTTTATCCATACATACATCCATCTGTCCATCCATCCATCCATGCAGTCATTCATTCTTACTGCAGTACTGTTGCTATTATTGATGTGTTCCCAGCTGGCTGAGTGGCATGAGTAGCTGCTACAAATAATCATTACAAAAGAGTGAGAAAAAGCTGTGGCCACCTGGGTTCTGAGGGGAATTTCTGGGCTCTGCCCTCAGTCTCCAGGCAGATGAAGTGCAGAAACAACATTAGCAGGAGCCCAGACCATTGAATCCTGTTCTTCAGCCCATAACCATGCCCGGATGAATGAGACCTAAATCTAATTAGACCTCAGCCTAAAGCAGGGACGGCTCTCTGCAGATGCCAGAGCCGCCTCTGGACTGCCCAGAATCAGCAGCGACCTCCACACAAGCCTCTCGTTTTCCATCTTCTCTTGAAATCCAAACGATCTGGATGAAAGAGGCAGTGGCTGCAGCAGCTCTATTCCTCTCCTTTGTACGGGTCCTTTCCTTTGTACGTGGGCATGTGCAGGTGCTGGCTTGTGCTGAGCGTATGCACACACATGCACACACATGCACACACATGCACACACACATACACACACAACACATCCCTACAATACACACGTACACATACACACACACTCACACACCCAAGCATTGTGGGCCCTGCCCTGCCCCCCCCCAGTAGGCTGTACCACTCACCTGAGATGCAGTTGTCACATTGATTTCTGGGACAAAGTTGTCCTCAAAGAGGCTAATGATGTTCTCCTGTTGTAGTTCCCTTGTGGGCGTGACTTTGGGCAGAGGTGGGACCGGAGGCCCTTTCCGCAACTAGGAAAAAGGGATGACAACGGTGAATTTGTGCAGCCAGGGCCTGGGACTGCCACAGCCTCGCAGAAATGGCCTGTCTGGGCTAAGTCCTCCTGCAGAGCACCACGCCTTCTTACAGGGAGGCTGCTCCCCTGACTGGGGCAGAACATGACCTCTACTCAAGAAGGGGCTAGGGCACAGTGGAAGAATCTTGCCTCAGGAACCAGAGGACCTGTGTTCAAATCCTACCTGGTACTTACCTACCTACCCACCCACCTGTGTGACCCTGGGTCGGTCACTTGTTGAACTTGATCCTCTCTGAGGTTCCCCGCCCCCACCCAGCTCTAATCAAGGACTCTCTGAACTTTCTGGTTGACCTTGGAGAGCAGCTGTGATTAGAGGATTGCAGTTCAGAGCGGGAAAGAACCTTAAAGGTTACTGAGTCGAACCCTCTCATTTTACTGGTGAGGAAACTGAGGCCTGAAGATCTTAAATGGCTTTCCCAAGATCGCAAATTCCATTGTCCAGAGAGGATCATGGGATGCTAGGTCTCTAGCTGAAGTCTCAGGGGTCATCTAGTCCAATGTATTCATTTTGCAAATAAGGAAACCAAGGCGCACAATTTGCCTGAGGTGACACGTGTGACTCTCCAGACATGAACATGAGACCGCAGAATCACAGATTTAGCAGCTCATCTCTTCCAATTCCCTAATCTTACAGAGGAGAAAACAGTCCTAGGGAAGTGGAATGACTTCCTCAAAGTCATGCAGTTAGTGAGGGAGTGGAACCCAAGGCGCCTGTCTTCTGGCCTTCGTCGACAGATGTAAAAACAGAAAGAAAGCAACGTGGAGACCCTGCTTGTTACGTGTGTTAAAATAATGATGATTTTAAAATACAGAGGTCTGTTGGAGGAGATCAGCAGCAGAGGGGAAGGGTCAAGGCGAGGTAGAGGCTGCCAGAGGGTCCCATGGACATTCTCAGGGAGCCAACCAAGCAAGGCCAAGCTTCTATAGAAGGCTTTATCCAGCTTCACCAACCCATCATTTCATGCCCCAGACTGCTGAATATTAAACACACAGAAGAGCAACAGGAGACAGATTCGGCCAGGAAGATTTGATGAACCTCTTCAAAAAACGAGAAGAAAGAAATCACGCTAGTCACAGCCAGAATTCCTATTTGGAGAAGGCTCAAGGCTGGCAACAGCCCTAGGAGGGAGGTCATGTTCTTATGCTTTCTCTAAATCGATGACCCCAGAATCCATTTTACAGATGAGGAAACTGAGTCTTGGAGCAGTGAAGTGATTTGCCATAGGCAGAGGCATTAGGCAGATCTGTTTCAACGGTTCCTTTTGGTCAGTCAAACGTTGTGTGGGGCATGTTTATCGCAGACACAGAAATTTAATGATTCCAATATGACTAATACAGAAATATGCTTTGCATGATTGCACATGTAGGTTATAACCTGTATCAAATTGCTTACCATCTAAGGGAAGGGGGAGGAGAAGAGGGAGGGAGGAAACTTGGAATTCAAAATTTTTAAAAATTAATGTTAAAAATTGTTATTATATGTAATTGGAGAAAATAAAATATTAAAAAACAACAAAAGAGGTTTAGTGACTCAGAATGAGGTCTTGGTTAGAGGGGAAAGCCTACTAAAAATCCTCTTTGCAAGCCTGAAAAGGTTGGAATTGACTATTTTTTTCAAGTTCTCTGGCCCTCCTTAAAGTGCTCTGGTTTAGGTGGGAGGATGGATTGATCGATCCCTAATGGAGAGGTCTGAGAAGCAGAGCCCGACACACCTCTGAATAAGGCAGGAGGGGCCTGGGAGGACACTGAATTTAAAGAGGCCTCTTCCTGGGGTCTCTCAGACGTACCAGGAGTGCCTGGCTAGAGGCTCCTCCCTGGCTCAGGGTCCCTTTCTTATGTCACTCTGCAGGCTGGACCAGACCAAGAAAGTCCCCAAGCAGTGGGCTTTTTCTTGTGTTGCCATTGTTGTTTTGGGGGAATGTAGGCACACTGGGAGGGGGCACACACCAAGCCACCAGATCTGCAGGGCTGCCTGGATTAATTTCATAAACACAATGAATCAAAAAAAAATAACCTCATTCCAACTGGTCTAAAGGAAAGGATGGCTTAATTTTTTTAAACTATGGACCTAAACTTTCATTGGCCTTGGGATCTCTCACAGTGGAAACTCCCTCCACTTATGTGAATTGCAACTAGTCTCTAGCCTGTCAATCAATCATTTGACAAGCATTTATTAAATACTTCCTGTGGCAGCAAAAATAACAGAATAATAGAATCACTAGACAGAAACAGAGAAGTGAGCATGCCATAGCCCTCAGTGAGCTTTCATTCTAAGTTTTAGAGGCAAAGAATTCAAGGTGTAGAATGCAATAGACATTTTTAGATATGGACAAAATGGGAATTTGTTTTGCCTGACTATGCATATTTCTTGCAAAGGTTTTTTCTTTTAAATTGGAGAGGGTGGGAGGGAGAGAAAAGAAGTACTTGTTAATTGAAGAATATAACAAAATATTGTCTGGGCCAAAGAGAGGTGAAGTGACTTGCTCTGGGTGACACAGTTTGGACATGTCAGTGGTAGGCTTTGGATGCTAGGTTTCCTGGCTCCAAGGCTGAGATGCCCTCCCGGACACCACAATGACTTTCTCTTAAATAGGCCTTTCAAATATTCCCATGTTGCAGACAGGAGGAAGGAAGCAATAAGGCACATTGGATCTGGAGTTAGACAGAGCCAAGTGCAAATCTTGATCAGAAAGCTGTATGATGGGGGGTGATTCTCCGAACGCCAGGTTCCTCATCTGTCAGTCCTGATGGCTTCAAAGGCCCCTTTCGGCTCTAAATCTATGCTTCTGCAACATCTCAGCTCTCCCTGAAATACTTTCAGAGTGAAATCTCCTTATTTCATATCTCAAGGACGCAGAAGAAACACCTTTTCCTTCCTAAGGAGGTTTTGGGGTTCCTCTCACCCCACTATTGGCCTGTAGTTCTCCAGAATTACTGGAGGGTGGAGAGCTCGGCTTGAAGCCAGGAAAACCTGAGTTCTAGATCTGCCTCAGACACATGTTGGCTGTGTGATCCTGGGAGGTCACTTAGCCTCTTAGATCTGGGCAAATCTCTAAGACAATAAGGTACAAATGAGCCTCAGGCATGAATCAATGGAAGAAATTTCCATGCTGAATATTTGTAACACCAGTAAATCACAGGTCCGGACCGAATTAAACAAAAAAAGCAATTAGAGAGAGGTCTGGTAGTTGGTTCCAACCCTGTCCCGAAACAGTGATTGTTTTATCAGTTCACTGACTTTCACCCAATAATTCTTAAGGACATATTCAGTGCAAAGTACCTTGTTAGTTACTATGGATGGTACAAGGTTGTGAAAAATGGTATCACTACCATCAAGGTCAAGGGCAACTAGGTGGCACCATAATGGATAGAGCACTGAACTTGGAGTCAGGAAGACTTATCTTTATGAGTTTAGATCTGGCCTCAAATATATACTAACTGTGTGACCCTGGGCTAGTCACTTAACCTATTTGCCTCAGTTTCCTCATCTGTAAAATGAGCTAGAAAAGAAAATGGTAAAACACTTCAGTATCTCTGCCAAGAAAACCCCAAATGGGGTCACAAAGAGTCAGACATGACTGAAAATGACTGAGCAGCAGCTACCATCAAGGTCACAGGGGAGGGAGTCAATTAAGGGAGATAAGCAACAGGCACAGAGAACTCATATGCGAGACCCTGTGGGTGATACACACCGAGTGTTTGGGAAGTTCAGAGGAGGCGCTATTTAAGCTGAGCCTCGAAGGATGGGTTGGGTTTTGGTGGATGAAGATCAACATGGTAAGTAGAAGGAATTTCTGGAGCAAAGTTGCAGACATGGAAGAAAGCTGAGATATCTGGGATGACTGACCATATATTTTCATTTTTGTTAGACTGTAGAATCTCCTTAGGGGTTTAGAGGGAGATCAGGCTTTGCAGATAGGTCATTCTCTTAACACTGGTCTTTTTTGATGTTCTGTGGGATGTCACCAGTCCTAAGGAACACCCTTCCCCTGTGACAAAGGCATCCAATGGGAAGCTTCTTTAGCCCTGCCATCTGCACATTCCTCCCGGCTCCCCCTTGTCCCTCCTACCTGTGAAGGTGACTTTGGCCGGGCTGGTGCAGGAGAGGCAGGTGCCAGAGTGTGATTCGGACTAGCTACTGGGCTGGGCAGGGGGGAAGGCTCCTCTGGTGGCGATGGTGTCTTTGCAATACGGAGAGGACCGGAATCACTAGACAGAAACAGAGAAGTGAGCATGCCATAGCCTGAGCAGGAGCTGGGATTTTTTTTCTCTTTTTAAGCAAATACCAAAAATCAACCTTCATTAATAATGGTGATGTAACTCACTTTGTTGTAGCCCTTTTAGGTTGTCAAAAGCACTTTATTTCAGAATAATCCTGAGAGGCTAGCAGTATAATCATTATCCTCAGTTTACAGATGAGGAAACTGAGGCTCAAGGGCTTATACAATTATCAAATAACATGGTTGAGTCCAGACCTCCAGGCTCCAAGTCTAGTGATTATTCCAATAGAATCTAGTAATTCTTAACCAGGGGTCTGTGAATTTGTTATATATATATGTATGTGTGTGTATGTGTATAAATATATATATATATATACATATATATAACTGTATTTCAAGATAATTGGATCCCTTTGTAATCCAATGCTTTATTTTACGCATTTAAAACACGATGCTGAGAATGGGTCCAGGCCTTCACCAGACTGTTGCCCAAGAAGACCAGGACACAAAAAATGTTTCGAAGTCCTGACCTAGAACACGTCACCAGACACTTTAAACCATATTAAATGTAGCATCTCCTATATCCTCATCTCTGTATTAAATAGAGGCTTTAGAGCATAATATTTGACATCTTACAGGGCTCTGAGGTTTGCAAAGTGCTTTCATATTATCCCAAGGGAATCCCACAAAGCCCTTGTAAGGAAAATATGTTTTATTACTATCATCTGTATATTACAAGTGAAGAAATGGAGGCTTAGATAGGCAAAAACCAATTTTCTTATAGTAACAAGTAAATGCTAGTGATGAGATTTGAACTCGGGTCTTCCGGACTCCTGGTTCAGTTCTCCCACCACTTCCTGCACTTACTTATTCCCTAAGTGGCACACATCACAAATTAGTAAAGATTCTGCCTTCCCAGGGTTTGGCCAGCTGTTGTTGGGTGAATGATGAAATGCCATAGTCAGATGGGCCACAGAAGTGTTGGGAAGTGACCATTTTCCTTAACTGTTCCTGTCTTCAGATTAGGGGTTTATGGGTCAAACCCAGTGGTCTGAAGTGCTCAGACTTCAAGGACATCACTCAGTGACAAAGCTACTAAGAATGGTAGCCAGACTTGACATCTACTAATGGCTATTGCTAACAAGGACGCTGGGGGGGCACCCTCAGCTCTCTAGGGGTTTCTACGTATTTCAGCTTGAGGGGAAAGCAGCTTTTTTGACCTGCACGTGTGCAGTGCAGGAGTTGGTACAGACACAGCAGGCTGAGGAAACTGAGTCCTCGTGGTCTTTAGGGAAAGCAAGCAAACACTGCCCATGATTGGGGACGCTAGCCATCAACCATGGCTGCTACAAACCAAGCCCAAATGGATGCTTTGAGAAGGGTTTCTCAGAGCTCACTCACCACCTCTCTCTGGGAAGACATTGGGAAAATGAAAGAAGCATATGTCAGTAATGAGGTCTGACCCCTCCTTGTTCTTCTACCCCTGAAATCAGCTTTTATTTCCTTTGCATATTTTTGTATTTATTTATCTGCATACATGTGGTTTCTCCTTACAGAACGTAAACTCCCTGTGGGCAGGGACTATCTCACTTTTGTCTTTGTAATCTCAGCACCCAGCACAGTGCCTGGCACATAGTAGGCACTTAATAAATACTTGCTAATGGATTTGTATCCCTACTACCAGTAAAATATAAGCTCCTTCAGGGCAGGAAGTGTTTCCATGTTATCTTTGTATTCCCAAGGACTAACAGCACTTGGCACTTAGTAGGCACTTAAATGCTTGTTGATTGATCTAATCTCAGTCAGGCACAATGCTTAAGAAATGCTAAATGAATGAATGAATACAGACTCTTTGACAGCAGAGATTGCCTTATTTTAGCTTTTGTATCCCCAGTACACGTAGGTACTTAAATGCTTAGTGATTGATTTCAAGTAATTTGATAATATTTAGGTTTAAAAAGTGACAAGTTTTTGATCCCTTCTATTTCTGGTGGGAAAAAAAAAACAAGCTGTTGTTGATTTTCTCCCACTCTTCACCGGATATAATAATAATTGATACTAGTGTTGGAAGGATTGTGGGAAGATAGGTTCATTAATGCATTGTTAGTGGAGCTGTGAATGATGACAACCATCCTGGAAAGCAATATGGAATTATGCAAATGAAGCCCAGGAGGCCATTGATAAGAAGCAAAGTTCCTATAAACACCAAAATAGTAATAGGAATGCTTTTTTGTGGTAGCAAAGAATTAGAAACAAAGTAGATGCCCATTGATGGGGAATGATTAAACAAACCATGGTAGAGGAATGTAATGGAAGATTATTGTGTTGTAAGAAACAATGAATAATGAATACAGAGAATTATGGATTTATATGTACTGATGCAGAGTGAAGTCAGCAGAACCAAGGAATCAACACACACAGGGACAAAAAAAAAATACATGGAAAGACCTACACCAAAACACCAAAAGTGAATGTTGCAAAATTACAAAGAACAAACATGACTCCAAAGAGGGGGGATCCTCCAACTCCACCCACTCCTTTGCAGAGAGGGGGAAATGGGTGAGAAACATTGTACTTGTTTCCAGACTTTTTAGATGTATTGATTAGTTTTGCTAATTTAAAAAAATCTTTGAAAAATATTTTTATATGGAATAACTCTCCGAGGAAGAGGGCATATTGTTCATCTGTTGATTCTCTCCAGTTTATCCTGTTCATATCTTATTTGTCCGTAGTTGCTGCATGTACTCTCTCCTCAATTAGACTGTGAGTTCCATGATAGCAAAGACTTTTTGCCTCTCTTTGAATTCCTAGCATTTAGCACAGTGTCTGACATATAGTAGGTGCTTAATCAGTGCTTGTTGACTGACTCAGGATTGTAGCTTGTGGATCATATATCACAGAAGAAAGACTAAGGAAATATTTTAGTCCAGCATCCTCACTACCAAAAGGGCCTCAGTGGCGTGTTCAACATCACCCAGGTAGTCATATCTGAAGTAGGATTTGAATCCAGATCCTCTTAGCTCAGATTCAGTGCTCTTGTTTGTTTTTACCTGAACCCTGTGACACAAGGAGGGACAGATGCCGTCTTTAGAAGATGGGGACATTATAGTTACAGGCAGATGCTGCCTGTCCCTGCTCTGTTGGCAGACAGCCCTCTCCAGAACTGTCCTTAGTGCTGAAGAGCTAAGGCATCGGTGGTGGAGGTGCTGCTGTTTCAGAGGCATTGTAGGTGGGGAAGGCTGCCGGTACACAACTGAGGGAGGTAGACTGGGCTCCATTTGGGCAGCAAAGTAGCCGGAGTGCATGATCGGAGGTTAGCCAGGTCAAGCCCACTTGCTTTGACCTTGACCCTATGCCTTCCCATCTCTTCACATTCACTAGCACTCATTTCAAGTCTCTTCCTTATCTACTGGCGTCTTCCTCACCACTTACAAAAATGAGCAGAGCTCTCCCATCTGTAGAAACCTTCATATGAGCACAGCTTCACTGACACATCAAACTCAAATGAGATATTTGTAAAGCATTTAGCCCAGGGCCTGGCACACAGTAGGTGTTTAAGAAGTGCTTATTACCCCCTCCTTCCCCTCATTTCCAAAGCCTCCTCCTTTTCATGGCCTAGATTCACTCATCTATTCTTGGAGTGTCTACTTCCTCCCTGTCATTTAGTTTTCAAGCCTGTGTAATATGGCTTGAACCCTACCCTTTGACTGAAATGGCTCTTTCCAGGTTGCTAAGGATCTCTTAACTGCCTAATCCAATGTCCTTCTCTCACTCTTTGACTTTCTTGACCTCTTGGAAGCTTTTGATACTGCTGACTACATGATCCTGTATCCTCTCTGTTCCCTTGTACTTCGAGTCCCTGCTTTCTCTTGGTCCCCCCCTTACCTATCTGACTTCTCCTTTCCAGTTGTCTTCACAGGGATGGAGGGAAGGCCTACCTTCCTGCCCAACCTGGGGCCCATCTGGAGGGCCCAGCAGGAGTAGGCACAACAGGAAACTCTTCTCTCTCAAATTTCTTGCCAATCCTCCTTCCCCTTTTCCTGTCCTGTTTGCACACTGACTTCACATCCCTAGTCCTGAAGAGGGAACCCAAAGACCTCGCACTATGCTAGTGGTGGGCCGGGATCCCCTTGATCCTCTCTACTTGTTGAGTGGACGTGGCTGCTTATACCATTTTGGCATTATTAACTACAATCTCTAGCAAGGCTTGCCAGGATTTAACCTGACATTGCATCCTTCAGATCCCCAGGCATCGTCATCTGACAATGCACCCTGAGTACCCCTGGAGTTTATTGTATGCCCCGTCACTGCAACTGCAGCACTGCCAGACCCTATCATATACCTTGCTACTGGACCCTCCCTCAATTAGAATGGGAGTTCCTTGAGAGGAGGAACTGTCTTGTTTTCTTATTTCTATCCCCAAGTCTTAGTACAGTGCTAAGTGTGCATAGTAGGCCCTCAACACATGCTTCCATTCACTCACTCACTCATTCATTATTCCTTCCTTCCCATAATTGAAGGCACCTCTTTGGAATGTGATGTGAGAAAGAGACTTTCCAAATGGAGGAGTAGTGAGAGCTCCATGAGCTCTTGGTGTGGGGGAGCCCACAAGAATGTTCATGCCTTTCAATGAATAGTCGCTTACCTAGGGGCTCCCTGAATGGTAAAGGCCTTGTCTGCATGCTGCTCCCCGAGCTTGGTCATCACCTCATAAAGCTTGTGGCAGAGCTGAGGAGACAGAAGGCACTTGTCCACTGGATGCACATTATTCCCATCCTAACTTAAAAATCCAAATGTTTTCCTTTGAAAGCTAGTGATTGAGGAACTATGCCTGGATCAGAGAAGCAGTCTTTTGAGGCCCGCCAGGCAGGTGGACATGGTTGAAAGATAATGCACTGAGGGAGATCTGAAGCTGTGTATATAATGTGTCTGGCACATAGGTGCTTGATAATAATTTTAAAAATTGAGCGATCAATGGATGTGGGTGCCTGAGCAATGGTGGCAGAGTAGTCTTCCTTGTGAAACTCATCAGCGGGGCTGTGAGGGCCTCTGAGGGCTACTGAGGCAGTCAGAAGGGGGATGCTTGAAGCTAATGCCCGGCATTCTTAATCTACTTTCTCATATATGAAATGAAGGGTTGGGAGAGGAGACTTACCGAGGTTCCCCCAGCTCTAAACCTAGGACTTTATAATCAGTGTAAAGCACAGCCCCCAATATCTTTCTTTAGGAAACAGATGAGGAAGTTCTAAGAGGGGACCCAAATGCAGAGAAGGGCTCGCTATATTAGGCACATCCTCTAAGTCTTCCAGGCAGAGAACACTAATTAAGATGTATGTCCCCAATGCAAACATGCTTCAGTTAGAACAATGAAGAATTTAGCCCAGTTAACAGAAAGATACATGATCTCAGGCATGGGGGAATCAAATGCCTGCCTGTCCCTACAGACAGAAGATGCCTATCCACCATGTAATTCACATGTGGAATGATCAATGTCTCTTACCAGAGCAATTTCCTTGTGGAACTTGGCCTCGAGGCTGGACACATTCTTGAAAGTATTGACATAAAATCCCACCCGTCTATGGGGAAGAAGCAAAAAGAGAACACAGGAGATCTGAGAGAAGAGCCATTCAGTAACCAAAGCACTTGTAAGGGTTAAGGAAACATCTCCGTTACTCCATCTCCATCCAGGTTTTGAAAGAAAGCAAGGGACAAAATGAGGATGTATGTTTCTGGATGTTTCTAATGTATTTTTAATGAACCTCTTTTAAAAATGTTACACTAAAAGATTAATGTTGAATATCAGTACAACCAACTAAATTTACCTCAGATATGGTATGTACATATATTTGTTTGATCTGTCACATCATAGACATAAAGAATTCCCAGTGAGGAACCCCCCTCCACCTTTGCAGATTTGTCCAGATAACTGAAAACCTGAATTCTTTCCTATAATCATATTCTCAGGAGGGGCTATGTTAATCTTTAGCCTTGATTGGCTGAAAGATAACTAAGACACAGAGAGTAGGTAATTTCAGTAGATACCTATTTGTAGAAATAGGGAGTTTTTGCAAATCTCCCTAAAGGGCATATATTACTTTCTCTGAAAATCAATTAATTAATCATCAATTGATCAAAATGACAATATTAATTATTACATAGCAAGCACCGCATTAGACCCTGGGGATTCAAAGACAGAAGTCTCTGCCTTCTTGGCACTGACATTCTATCTGGGGATGCAACATGCAGACAAATGACTTTACCTAGACCACAAAGAAGGAAGCTCTTCTTGTAAATCAATGTTGAACTCTTCAAACACTTTCTGGGCTTTTTGAAACTCTTCTTCTGCCTAGAAGGAACAAAAGACTGTTTATTTCCACCCATCTAAAAGTGATGTAACTATGTTGATATAAAATAGCTTCACTGGATAGGAGAGATTTGGTCTAGAGTTGTGTGCCAGCCTGCACACTTTTGGACAAAGTAGCGGGCTTGTTAGCTTGCCTGCTTCCTGAGATGCCAAAATTGTTTTTACAAAACTCATCATGTTAGGTCAGCTGGTTAGGTGAAGGAGCCTTCTTTAAGGTCCTGGCTCCTCTGCTTTCCATGTGCCAGCTAGCCCATCAGATCAGAAAGTAAAGGATCTAACCAGAGAAGGCCGGACAGGAAACTGAAGAAAGAGTCAGCAAATTAAATTCAGTAAATGCCTAAAATTGGCCCCCATTGTACACACCCCAGCCTCAAACTTGGTGTCCCCTCAATGCTAGATTAGTATATCAGACATTTTTACAGCTGAATAATGTCCTTCAATAGCTTAGCAATGGATACTCCAAATGTCTCGGCCCAAAATGTGTTGTGATGTAAGGAATAGGCTCATTTTCCACCAATGTGTTAGAGATGAGGTAAAGCCCAGCCTGGATTCTGTCTTGATTCCAGCCAGATCTCTGTGGCTTTGTTCCCACCCACAAAGCCATCCAGGTCTCAAGGGAAGCTGCCTGGGACCTCCCAGCACATCTTACCTTTGTGATGCGACTTTCGTCTCGTCTTTTGGAACTCTGCAGAGCTTCTAGATGGTGACGGGCACTGTCATAATCCACCAGCTTTCTGCTCCTCTTGGCGATGCGCATCTGCCAACAGAGGGAATTGTGGCCTTTGCTAAAGCAATCAAGCCCCAGTAAGATGGCGGACCTGGCCAACTCCTCTCTCTACCTGGAGAAGTTGATGACCGAGGGTGAGGGGGAGGAAGAGGCTGCAGGTTCCTTGAGGACTAAGGCTGCTTCAATTTTTGTCTTTGTATTTCCAGGGTAGAGCATAGTGATGTGCATAGTAAGTTCTCAGTAAAGGCTTGTGAGAGTGCATTGGATTGAAGAAGGAGACGGAAAGGCAAGGCAGCAGGCTTCAGTATCAGAGAATCAGAGTCGGAATGCTACAGAGGCTACTTGTTCAGCCCACAGAGGACCAAGAATGCCCTCCACCATACACCAGCCAAACAATCATCCAACCTTTGCTGGAGGACCTCCTCTAGTGAAGCAGAAGAAGCTGCCACCTTCCAAGGCAGCTCATCACACCTTTCAATGGTTCTAAGTGTTGGGAAGATTTTCCTTTCACTGTTGTTTCTAGTTCAGGGTCTGCTTGACCCAAGTACCTGACGACAGTGACTATGTCTGCTCTAGGTCTGCTCTGCGCTAAACATCTATAGGTCTTTCAACCAGCCATTGTACAGAATGAACTCAAGATGATTGCCTGCTCTCAAGTCAGCCAAAATCCTTCTTAAAGCTTGGTGTCTAGCCTCTAAATTAAGGCTCCAGCTGTGGACCGACCAGGGAACCAGACAGCTGGTCCCTCTAGCTGAAGACACTATGCTTCTCAGACTAAAATTGCATAAGATTTTTTGGCTGCCATAGCATGTCAGTGACTCATGCTGAGTTTGTAGTGCACCAGAACCCCTAAATCTTCTTCAGACACCCCTTTGCCTAGCCATGCCTTCCATATATCTTCCCTGTGAAGTTGATTTTTTTCTAACTCAAGTACTCTCAAGCAGTATGACTTTAAGTGACAGGAAATGGCCCCTACAAGACTGGAAATCATGATGACTTTCCACATTGATCTTTGTGCAGTATAAGAAACTCTCTGAGGGCAGGACATAGTACTTTGGCTTTCATATCCTCATTTCTTAGCACAATGCTTGGTACCTACAGATAGTAAGCACTTAGCAAATGTTTGATAATTTGAATAGATGAAGCATCTGGGGGTGTTTGTTTGTTTTTCACACTGAGATCTGGCTGGAGAAAAGCAAGGTAGTAACTGGATATTCCAATTCTAGTCACCTCCAACATGTGCCTCTTACAGACCCATTAAGCCATATCCATTGAGAAATGGTTGCCTTTCCATATCATATGAAGGCAAGATATGATCTATGACACCTAAGGTTGGCTAGGGCGGGAAGACTGACAATAAGTTGATGGATGGTAATGAGCAAACCTCCATTCATCCCACACTTTCCTCCAGTATTTTCTTACAGACCCTCCTCAACCTACCCAGACTCCCCTGCCCAAGTTCTTGCTACTCCTGTTTTCTGCCCTTTCTTTTCTCTTCCCACCTCCTAAGCATACCTAGCCAGGGCTAATGGTGGGGAGATTTGTGCCACAAGATCACAGATGCAAAGCAGGAAGGGACCTTAAAGTTGATCTAGTTTGACATTTACAAAAGAGGAAACAGGAGGGAAAGTGATTTGTCTAGAGTCACACAGGCAGGGAGGAGCAGGGCAGAAATTTGAATCCAGAACCTATGCCTCCAAATCTAGTGTACTTCCCCAGCTGCATCCATAAACACTGCTCACACTTCATGATTATACCCAAATATAAGACATGGTGTTAAACAGGGTCTGAAAATGCCAGAAACTACTTCAAACTCAAAGCAGGAGGGGCGGCTAAGGCAGAATGAGACTCATCTTTAGTAACATGTCTACTGGGGCTTCAAGGGATCTAAATGGTCATCGTCCCCTGCAAAGCAGCCCTCTCAGGTGGCCCCCTGACAGTGATAAGCCAATGAGAATGCCACTCCTGAAAAGACTGTCCAAGTCCTCCCCTGCCTCCTGAACCTGCAGGACATTCCTTCAAGCATCCTTACTGCTGACCCACTTTCGTCCTTCAAGGGAGGATTTGATTTTTGGAAGCAGCTGAAAAAGACTGGAGCCAAGTCTGATGAAGACAGTGGGAGATCACACCAGGGTCTATTGTTTATGAATAAAAAACAAAATATGACTGGGAAATAATCTCCTTTCGGCTTGGTTTGCAAAGCAGCTCTAAAGTCCATTTGCAAAGGAAATCTGCACACGCTGTGAGGGGTGACGTCAATGGAATAAGGGCCAAGGGTACTACTTTGATGAGGTTCACAGGTTCATAGACAGAGAGCTGGGGGAGCGTGAGGGGCCGTCTCGTCCGGCCCCGTCACTGTGCAGTTGGGGAGACTGACACCCAGGGAAGCTAAGTGACTTGCTCAAGGTCATGGGGCAGTGAGTATCAGAGGCAGGATTCAAAGACTCTAAATGAGCCTTGATTCTATTGCACTAAGCTGTCTCCTCCTCTTAACAGAATCAAATCCTCTCAGAGCTGGAGATGACTTCAGTGCCCATCTTGTCTAATTGGTACTTGGAAAAATATTCCTACTATGAGACACTCCATTCACGGTAGCTTAATCTTTCCTTGAAGATCTTCAGTAAAGGCAAATTCACCACCTCCCAACATGGGCCATTCCCCCATTGCACAGTTTTAATTATAAGAACTTTTCCCCCATAGAGAAAAAAATGCCTCAAGAAAGAGTTGGCTGCCCTTCCTTAGAGATCTGTAAGCAGTAGCTGGACCTCCACTTACGGGAATGTTATTGTGGGATGTATGGCTCGGACAGGATGACCAGTGAGGTCACATTCAATCTCACATTCTGTGAGTCTATGAGTGCATAAAAGCACAGAAGGGTGGGAAATTGACCTTTTTGCAACTTCCACCCACAATTCCAAGTTCTGACCTCTGGGGCCAAACACAATGTTCCATATAACAGCCCTACAAAAACTGGAAGGCAGCTATCCTGCCCCCTGCCCCCTTAGTCTTCTCTCCTTCTGGCTAAACATGCCAGTTCCTTCAACTGACCCTCGTATGTCACTGGCTCAAGGCCCTTCACCATCCTGGTTGCCCTCTTCTGATACTCTCCAATTTAGCAATGTCCTCCTTCCACATCAGCACCTAGCACTGAGCATAATATTCCATGGGTGGTCTGACTGGGGCAGAGGGCAAGGGCCCCATCACCTCCTTCTTTCCAGATTCTCTGCCTCTCTTAATGTCATCCACAATGGTCTTGGCTGACTTGGCAGCCACATCTTACTGCTGATTCACAATGAGTCATGCATTAGAGCCCTCCAATTATTGTCAGAAATAAGGCCATCTATCCATGCCTTCTCTGTCTTATCCTTGGGATGCCGATTATTTTTAAATCAAACATAAAACTTGACATTTATCTTAATGCATTTCCCCTCATTTGGACTTCTAAGCTCTACTTCATTTGTTCCTAAAATCTGTTTCATCGGCTCAGCTTCCCATCTCGGACTCTAGGGCCTTCTTCAAAGCATCCGCCATCTAGGGCAGAGGTCAGGAAATGTTATCTTATTTTTTACAAGAAGCACTCAGCTTTCTCCTTCAGTCAAGCTCAATTAAAACTCCTTGGCATTTCCATCTGCTCAGTAGCTTCTGCCCAAAGAACACAATGAGCCTGTTTAAAAGGAAACCACCAATAACTGCCCATTGGAAGAGTATGCCTTGGCACACCCCCACCAAGACATCTTTAGTGGCTGGTGCCCAGGGAAAGAGCAGGATATGAAATAGCCCACACGTGGTGCTGAATCCACCAGGAGAGGCTCTGCACACACAAACCATCCAGCCCTACGGCTCTGAGCAGGATCACAGCGACCTTTGCCAAGAAGTGCCCCTGGCTTCCCTGACTGGACCAGGCTGTTGACAAGTCTGCTTCATTTGAAAATACAGATTTGGTTGCCGGTTGCCTTATCCTGCAAAGCCAAGCTGGCTGCTTCACCCATCCCATCAGGCGAAACAAGGCAAAGCAGCAAGCCCTGAGGAGCCCTGAGTCACCGTCCTTAATGATGGACTGGAATAAATATTTTGAAAGTTGCCTGAGGTTTCAGCAGCATGTTTCCCATTGACTGCAATGGGAATCACAGTGTTGGGTTTTGAAAAATCTCCACTCAGGATCTTAAGTCATAATTCTTTGCCATACCTCCAACCCACTCATTCAATCACTGTGGAATAAGTAAGACTTGGGCCTGGTGAGCATAAGCTTTGATAGGTATACTTACTGCATTATTTTAAACAGTGCACTATTTAAGCTATGTGCTCTCCTTCTGCTGATACAGATAGAGGCCCCTCCAGTGATACCAAACAGCTTCATGAATGACTGAAGCTGACAGAAGCTATTGCTTGGCAGCCAGGGTCTGGGTGGCAAACCTCTATGTGCTCAGATAGTTTGGCGTAGGAGTTAAACAGATTCAAGGCTGGGGTCTGTGAGAACTGGGAAGGCCCAAGGACATGAACACGAAACTCTTCCATGGTATTTGCCATGGTCAGCTTTGTTCTAAGAATCTATTGTTGCAGAGACAGCTTGGCTTAGTGACTGACCTCAGAGACAGGAAGATCTGGGTTCAGGTTCTGCCTCTGACACATCTCATCTGTGTGACCCTGGACAAGTCATCTAATGTCTCCATGCTCTAAATAACTTTAAGAATCTAAGTCAGAGATCAGCTCAGCTCTTGATCTGCATTGGGAGAAGTTTCCCTATTGGGAAGTCCTCATATTAATGAGATCAAACAGAAACTATTGTGGAAAACAAAGCAAGCATCCCTAGGATATAGGATGGGAAAAGAGGGTTCTTGAAGAATCTCTCTCATGGCATGGGGGCAGTGTGGGCCAGTGGAGAGAATGTAGGATTTGGACTCAGACGAGTGAAATCCCAGCTGGGCCACTTCCTGTCTGTGTGACCTTGGGCAAGTCGGTCAGTCCTCTCACCTCCTGGCTGCAGGAGGGAAAGAGAGGATTAGGCTATATGACCTCATCCAACTTATAAAAACTGTGCCTTGTGATTGATGCGCTTGGCCAGAAGCCCACAGGATGCTATCACAGGGGCAAAGAGTCCAGTGAGGAGCAGGTGAATGCAGAGCCAGCAGAGACCCCATCAAGGCACCCAGAGGACATACAGAGTCGCTGCTCTGAAAGCACAGCAAGGTTGTTATAGAGACGACAGATCATCTCCAGCTCAGCTGCAGTAAATAACAACAGCCTGATGTGTGCGTGTGACATTTGAAGAGAGGAAAGGAAGTGAGACGTGGGGAGGAAGGAAAGGAGGAAGGGATGGGAGGCAGGAATGAATAATGAATGAAAGTATAAAGATTTACTCAGCTCTTACTATATGCCATGTGCTCTGCTAAGTTCTAGAAACACACACAGAAAAACGAGATAGCTCCTGCCTTCAGAGAGCTTATGTTCTAACAGGGAAAGAGCAGGATATGAAATAGCCCACACGTGGTGCTGTATCCACCAGGAGAGGCTCTGCACATACAAATGGTCCAACCCTATGGCTCTGAGCAGGAGCTTTCCAGGCTGGTGTGAAAACAGAGAGCGGACAAGGGTTACATCTGAGGTTCTGGAAAATCTGCTTTCCTGTGCATTGGCTACATTTCCCACCCCAGGAGCATTTCTAACACAGCTGCTTAACCGATATGGACAGGGGCTGGGTTTCACTCCCCCCTGCCCCGGGGCTCCCTCTGGTGGTGACGTTTGTTGATAGGTAGCAAATGTCCAGAAAAGGAAGTCACAGATTTAGAGCCAGGAGGAGCCTCAGAGGCTATTTCGACCAGGCCCCTCATTTTTTAGAGGAAGAAACTGAGACTTAACGAGATTAAGTGATCTACCCAAGGTGTCGGAGGCAGGAAGAAGCAGAGCCAGATTTTGAATCCAGGGCCTCCAATTTTAAGTCCAGTGGTCTTTCTATGGAGAAGAAGTATTGAGGAGAATGCGTAATTCATCCTCTAGACAATTATCTGGCTGAACTATCAAGTTTTAGTGCTTAGCACACTGTAGGTGTTTAATACATGCTTATTGATTGATTTATTGGTATCCCACAAATTGAGTGTGTTGATCCTCAAGCGATCTATCCAGAGCTAGGAATAATGAGCATGGAATCAAATGGAGGGTGGGAAATCCTCCACTAAAGCCTTCTCCTGATGCCTCATCATGGAGTAGAATTGACTCTGGATTCTCAAGAGCCATCCTCCAGAAATTCAAGATCTGGTGGGATCTACCAGCCTAGAAAAGCTTCAAGAATGGACTTATAGATGGCCTGAATGTTGGCTATCACATGGATCATTCTAGCTAAATTAGCATAAGGAGGAAGTTAGGTGGCTCCATGGATAGAGCCCTGGGCCTGGAGTCAGGAAGACCTGAGTTAAAATCTGGCTCAGAGACTTACTAGCTGTGTGACCCTGGGCAAGTCACTTAACCTCTGTTTGCCTTAATTCGCTGGAGAAGGAAATGGCAAACTGTTCCAGTATCTTTGCCAAGAAAGCCCCATAGACAGTGTGGTCCATGGAGTCCTGAAGAGTCGGACATGACTGAAGAATAACAAATTAGCAGAGGCTCATCACTGATCCTTTGATACTGGCCTCCTGACAATTCTATGGAAGAAGACCCTCTACCTCCTGGCTGGAGACATTCTCTCTGGCTATCCTCCATGCCTGGAAAGTCCGCCCTCCTCTCCTCCAAGTACTGACCTCCACGGCTTCCTTTAAGTCCCAACTAAAAGCCTACCTTCTACAGGAAGTCTTCTCCAACTTCTAGTACCTTCCTGTTGGTAATTGCTGCCCTATTTTATATGGCTTGCTTTGTATATATTCGTTTGTATCTTGTCTCCCCTATTAGATTATAAACTCCTTTAAGCCAAGGATTATTTTTTCCCCCTCTTTCAGTATTCCCAGTGCTTAGCAAAGGGCCAAGCACACAGTAGGTGCTTAATAAATGTTTATTGATTGATTGAAAACTTTGGTCATTAGAGACTAAATCTTTTGGCCACAGCAACTAGTGAAATTGTCTACTAAGGAATGGTGGTGGGTGGAATATGGAGGGTGGAGACTATACTAAGATATGTTTTAGAGAAGGGAGTAGCCACACTGAGGAGACTCCATCTCCCTGAAATCTAAGTGTCTGTGAGCCATCATGGTTTCCTTTTACTGTCTGTATGGCAGCATGGACCTGTGCCTGTCAACGGCACCTATCCAAGATGGCAGAATTCTGCCAGGGAAGGTCAGTGTCCATGTGACTTCCTTTGGGCCACTCCCCAGCAATTTGCTGCATAACAAACAGATGAAGACACCAAGAAAGAGACATCTAGTACCAGTGGCCCAGCCCTGAAGCCACTCAGCTACTTCGCCTCCTCAGCTCCAATTACTTTCAATCTACTTACCATTTTTGTGTAGCGACTCTTAGGGCAAACAGAACATTAACTCAATTGAAAAGATAATTATAGGGAGTTTACATTATGGATGCTGTGATCGGCTTAATCACAGGCTCAGTTCTAGAGCTGAAAGGGACCTGAGAGGCCATTTAGGCTAACTACCTTACTTTATAGAAGGAGAAACTGAGGCTCAGACGGGGGGATTGCCCAAGGTCAAAATGACAGTAAGAGACAAAGCCAGGATGTGAACTCATGTGCTCCAAGTCTAAATCCAGCCCTCCTTTCATGGAGAAGAGGGAAAAAGGAACATAAATAATTCTTAAGAGAGGTAGCAATCCTGCTGAATTATAGGCTCTTAATAGCAAGGCAGTGTGGTATAGTGGGTAAGGTTCTGGCTTGGTCTATGGCTTTATGTTTCTGGGTTCAAAAAGCCTCCTTGCAAGCAGCTGAAGCTCCAGGGGATGAACTGAAGGAGAAAATGAGATTTCTTGAGACACAGTGCATGGTAAGCTGTCACTGGGCAGGGGATCCAGGCTGGAGGCAATTCCTGCCTTTTCTGCTTTGCCTCAGAGGACATGGTCTATTTCCTCCCCTTCTGTCCCCTCCTCCTATCCCACCCCATCATGCTTCTCTCCCCTGGGATCAGGAGCCATTTCATTCCTCCTCCCCCTTAGGAAAACAGGGTGCAGTACTTTGATGTCAGGAAACTGGCCAAGGTATGTGTCCAGCGTGAGTAAGGACCCATCCACTAGCTTTTGATGGAAGTCTTCCCAGAGCACATCACATTTCTGAAAGAGAGAAGAAGAGGGAGAAGTCACAGATTGTTCTAATTGGATTCCTCCCACAAAACTGAGAATCAAGGGAAGCATCTGAAAGAACCTGGAAAAATGGCTACTTAAGCATGACTTCCTTAGATGTCAGGATGCCACACCTTAAAAAAGGTATGGATAATTTAATAGTGCAATTAATTTTAAACATGTTTTGGTTACCGGTTCCCATGTAGAATTCAATCCATCTAAGTTGTCACTTGGAGAAAGGGGGCTTATAAGCCATTGGAATTCCTAAATAACTTGTTGGTTTATAAAGCAATTTCCTTATTTTCTTCACGCTAGTCCTGTCAGGCGTGTAAGGTACAATTACTGTGCCCATTTTTTAGATGAAGAAGCTGAGACTTAGAGGGGTCAAGTGACTTGTTCAAGGTGAGTGGCAGAGCTGTAATTCTGACCAAGGTTTTCTGACTCCCTGTTCCTTTGCCATGGCCCCACACTGCTTTTCTTTCTTTTTCAATCACATTTCATCTGATGTACAAACACCAGAGACCTCAGAAAGGGTCTGGATCATGCAACATGGATCATGCAAACAGCTCAGCAGCTCCTCTCAAGGCATTCTTGGCAATCAGTCACAGCCTCCTCAGCCAACAGAGAGCTAGCCCTTTGTAGAGGATGATATGGAGGCTCAGAGCTAAGCTAGGAGGAAGATATAGGTATATGGGGGGAGTGGGAGGGGCAGGGCTTGCTGATTAAATTGGTCAGGGTCTTTCATGAACTGATTTTGAGAGGTGAGGCTGTAGGATGGTCCTCAGATGTATACCTAGATCCCCACATCCCAACAAAAGGATAGCTCCTTTAATGTTCTATAACTGATTGGAAGCTCATACAGAAAGGAATGGATTGAGTGTTGGACTTGAAGCCAGAAAAACCTGGGTTCAAATCCAACCTCCAGACACTAGCTGCATGACGTTGGACTAGTCACTTATATTAACTGGGTCTCAGTTTCCTCATCTGTAAAATGGGAGGGAGGGACTCGATGACCTTCAGGTTCCCTTTAAGTGCTAGAACACAGATTCTTAACCAGAAATCAATATACTTTTTTTTGTGAGCCAATCGGGGTTAAGTGACTTGCCTAGGGTCACAAAGCTAGTGTTAAGTGTCTGAGGTCAGATTTGAACTCAGGTCCTCCTGACTCTAGGGCCAATGCTCTATCCACTGCACCCCACCTAGCTGCCCCAAATCAATACACTTTTTAAAAGATGTATTTTGATAACTGCATTTCAGTTTAATTGGTTTTCAATGTATTTTTTCACTGAAAAACATTATTCTGAGAAGAGGTCCACGTGTATCACCACTCCCCAAAGGGGTCCATGACACGATAGCCAGCATTTGCAAAGAACTTTAAGATTTACAGAGCACTTTACAAATATGATCTCATTTGATCCCCACAACAACCTTGTGAAGTAGATGCTGTTATTAGCTTCATTTTACAGATGAAGACACAGAGACAGGCAGAGGTTAAGTGACTTGCCCAGGGTCACACAGCAATTAAGTGTCTGAGGCCAGATTTGAACTTAGGTCTTCCTGACTCTAGGTCTGTTGTAGGCACCCAACACAAAAAATGATCAAGACCCTCTGGTCTAGACCTATGAGTCTCTCAATTTCTACTCCCACCCATGCAGCTCAGTAAAGGATGCAGACCTGGGCTAAATCAGAACCCTTTGGAGACAGTGATACATCTGGGGAGATACGGGTAGTGCCTTCATTCCATGTGCCTTCACAATGTTGATCTTCATAGTTTTATGGACCCAAGGTCCAGAAGGGGCTCAGAGCCCATTTCTGGAGGCGCATCTTTCTCATGGAAATCTGAGCGTACTCGAATATACAGCCAGGTCTAACTAACATCACAGCATCTCTAGAGATGAGAACTTGTTTCCATTCTTTCTTTTAAAGGGCAAATCTCATTCTTGCTAACGATGCCTTGCCTTTATCACAGCCTCCCCAAAGATGCTGCTGTGCCAGCAGGTTCTTAAACCACCTACAGCAGCCACAGAGCTCAGGCAAGAACGAGAGGTCTTTAACAACTGAATTTGCAAACGATGTGTGTCTGGAGGCCAGCTTTTGCCAAATGCATACCCTGGAATTTTCTACAAGCTGAATGGAGCCCGAAAGCTCTTGCCACAGTCACGAGTTTCTCATTTCGTTGCCTCTGTCGGCCTTTCCTGAGGATCAAGGCCATCTAGACTACAGGATTTCAAAGGAAGCCAGACCACTGACAGCGGGACTTTCAGGTCTCTTATACTGCTCCCAGGGCTCTGGCTGCCATTAGAAAATGCTATAGGGCGGCCATCTCACATGAGGCAACGAAGACAACAGTTGTCAGAGGCCTCCCCTGATGTTATTAGAACCTACATTTGAGACCTCCTTTTCACTTCCCTTCGACAAATGTATCCTCCATGTCTGACACTCACATGATACTAGGAGAATACGCTGATGCTGATGGTGCAAAGAGAAAGGAGAGCTGATTAAGCCTTCACTTGCAGTCTAGACAAAAAGCATAAGACATGAAGACACATGCCTGATAGCAGGAACTTGGAAGATACAAGAAAGAGCAGAAGAGAGAACGTTTCCACCAGGATGGGGTCAGGGACTCAGAAAAGGCTTTGTGGAGAAGGGATCACTTGAACCAACCATTGAGGCATCATGGATCCCAAATCTGGAATGGACCTTGGAGGCCATGCCCATCAAGGTTAAGTGACTTGCCCAAGATCACACAGATAGTAAGCATCAAAGGTGAGATTTGAACCCAGGTCCTCTGGCTCCAGATTGTAGAATGCTGCCTTCCTTGTCCAGGAGATAATAAAGGTCTGAAACAGGACAGTGGCAATGGGACCAGAAGGAAGGAGTAATTGCAGGGTATCTCAGAGGCAGAGCAGATAGGATTTGGCTACTCATTAGGTATGCAAAGTTTTAAAGATGGAACAGAAGATGCCTTGAAGCATCAAGCTAAGTGACTCGGAAGATGGTGCCCCCTTTACCAGACAAGGGGAAGGCTGGCTTCACGGAAGATGGTGAGAATTCCTTCTTAAATGTGTTGAGTTAGAGGTGCCAGGGGACATCAAGGTAGAGACGCTGGGCAGGTGCTTGGAAAGGTGGGTCTGGAGCTTAGAGTTGATGTCAAGTTTGGAAATACAACATTGTGAGTTATCCACATCCAAGTTAGAACTGAATTCATGGAAGTGGCTGAAATGACCACGGAGGAGACACAGAGAAGGATGAGCTAAATGGCCAAGATGGAACCCGGGAGAATGTTTGCATTCAGTGGGGGGGGGGCAGGAGGAGGAGCAGGAGGAGGAGGAGGAGGAAGGAAGTCAGCAAAGCAGCCAAGTCTCACAGCCCTTTTTCTAGACAGCTTTCAGGACTGGCTTGACTCACTAGGGAAGGAGACAGCTGTCTCTGTGGTACAGTTTGGGGATCCAGGAAATGAACAAACCAGCAAACAAACACATATATCTTCAACTACTAGCTGATGCATGAAATTCCCCTAAATACTGAGAACATCTTTTATTCCATTAGATCCTGGGAAGGATGACACAGACTGAAATTCACACCAGGCATAAATGACTAGAATCAGACCCTTTCCATTTTGATGGGTGTACAGAGAGAGTAGAAAAAGTTTATGAAGTCTGAGGATTGAAGAAGGAGAAATAAGAAGGGAAAAGTCGAAAGGAAGGCTATGCTAGGACAAAGAGCACATGGGGAAATGTTTAATAAAAGGGATGTGGAGTCAGGGGGGTGTGGGTTTAAACCCTTCTTTTGACACCTAGTAGCTGTGTGCTCTCTTAGCCTCAGACAGTCAGTTGGCCGGCATTGATTTTAAGCACCTACTATGTACCAGGCACTGGGTTAAGCACTGGGAATACCAAGAAAGGTGAAAGATAGTCCCTGTTCTCAAGGAACTCACAGTCTAATGGGGAGATAACCTGAAAGCAGCTAGGTAGAAACAGGATACATAACAGGGTAAACTGGAGATAATCTCAGAGGGAAGGCACCAGGATTAAGGGGGGTTGGGACAAACGAAACAGTCCCTGCCCTAAAAAAATGTGTTTTACAAGGGAGTAGTGTTGAGGGCAGCGGATACAACATACATACAGATAAATAAAAAGTCCAGACAGGGAATACAAAGTCATTTCAAGGAGAGAGCATGAAGGCCTGGGAGAAATCTATCAAAGCTCTGGGTGCAGGCAGGCACCTGAGCTGCTCTGAAGGGAGAAGATGATTATGCCGAGGGAGGCGAAGAAGAAATGAGGACATGGGGGCCACCTATGCAAGGGCACAGAGGTAGGTGAGGAATGCAATGTTGTACATGAGGAACAGCCAGTGGCCCAGTTTGACTGGAACAGAGGGAAGTAATGGGAGCTAAGGCCAGAGAGGTAGGTGGGAGACAGACTGTGGAAGGCTTCCGATGCCAGGCTGAGGATCTTGTATCTCAGGCTGAAGTCAACAGCGCCAGTTTTTGAGTAGGAAAGTGATATGGTGAGATCTCCATTTTAGGAATATACATTAGCTATATGGAAGATGGAGTGAGGAGGGATTGGGAGGAGGGATGCCAATTAAGAAGCTATTGCCATAGTCCAAGCAAAAGGTGATGGGGTGGGGATGGGTGAAGGAAGGGAATAATTGTTTTTATGGCACCTACTATGTTTGAGGCACTATGTTAAAAGTTTTACAAATGTTATCTCATTTGGACCTCACAACGACCCTTCAAAGTTGGTGTGAGTACTATCTCTATTTTACAGATGAGGAAATGAAGGCAGACAGAGGCTAAGTGCCCAGGGTCACATAGCTAGTAAGTTCCTGGGGCAGATTTGAACTCAGGTCAGGCCCAGCACTTGATAGAGTGCACCACCTAATTGGCTGCTGAGAACGGCTTGAAGGGGGATGTGGCTGTTGGAGTGGAGGGAAGGGGATGGATACTGAAGATATTGTGGAGGAAGAATTGACTTCACCTGACAATTGATTGGATATGGAGAGTGGGGACAGATGGCTTTGAAGTTGCAAACTTGGGAGGGTGGTGCTCCCCTCAGTGGAGATGTGGAAGCTGGGAGGATGGATGAGTTTTGTGGGAGGAGACATAACAAGTTCTTTTCGGGACATGTTGAATTTGAGATGCCTACATCCAGGCAGAGTTGTACCAAACTTCAGAGAATAGCATAAGGTAGAAAAAGGAATGTCTTTTATTCTGAAGATGAAAAATAACTCTGAAGCTCCAGTTTCCCTCCAAAGCCATTTGAGAATCATCCTCAAGTCTCCCAGAAAGTTGGGAATGGTCCAGATCAAATTCACCTGCCCTACCTTCTAGGTACATTGTTTCACTTTGTCATTAAAGCCCCAGAATGGTCAGAGTAGGATGCAGGGCCCCATCCTGCACTCATAGCTGGTGAGGTGTGTATGGGGTGCTTCCCTGGGCTCCGCCCCTCCACCACAGCTCTCACCTCGCCCACCATCTTCACATCCTCACGTCCATACCAGTCTGGCTCATAGACTTCGTGGAGGGACTCTGTCAGTTTCATCGAGGCCTCTTGCATGCCTAGTGGGTGAAAAAAGGACAAATATTTTCAAAGAAAGTCCAGACTTATTCTTTCTTACCAGGTCTGCCTACCCTGAGTTTTTGGAAATCAGATAAAAATCCCAAAGAGTTGCTGATTCTGAAAGAATCCTGATACTATTCCAAGGGGATGGGAGTGAGGTGGCATAAAGGTTAGGGTGCTGTACTTGAAGTCAGAAAGACCTGGGTTCAAATCCTCCCTCAGACACTTCTCAGCTGTGAGACCTTGGGCACTTCATTTAAGTTCTCTGAGACTCATTTTTCTTCTCTGTAAAACAAGGACAATAATAGGGCCAACTTCTCATGTTGTTGTGAGGATTAATGACGTTGCTCATGTAAAACGATCTGTTCACTTTGGAGATCTCTGCATATTTCAGCTTCTTTGGTTTCTCCGACAGGCTCTACAGGTTCATTTATATTTCTTAATGCTATTCCGAGTTAAGGTCTCTTTTGGAGCCAAAGATAACTAACTTGCCCTCAATTTTCTATTCGCCAAACTCGGAGAATTTAGAGCTGGGGGAGGGGAACCTTAGGGATCATATGGCTCAGGCACCTTATTTTACAGAAGAGGCAACTGAAGTTAGGAGTGACTCACTCAATATGAGTAGCAGAGGAAGCATTTGAACCCAGGTTCTCCAACTCTACCGTGTGACACTGACTCAAGTAATCTTCGGGTGCAAGACTGGGGCCAATGATTCACTTCTATTCATCATCTTCATCGATCTCAGAGGGTGCACTGATGTTGTCAAAAAACTCTCAAAACAAAATTAATTCTGATTTGTTTTAATTATAACAATAAACCATGCATCAGTTTTAAGAAGAGGGGTGACAAAACCAAGCCCACACAAAGATTCTGCAGAGTTGGGATGCTTTGTGCTAAAATAAATAAGCAAAAAGAAAGGACTGCAGGGTCATTGCTTTAGACAGATGGAGCTTAGAGGCTGCCTAAGCCAACATCCTCATTCCAGAGATGAGGAAACTGAAGCCCAGAGACCTTGAATGACTTGCCCAAAGTCACACAGCAGTGATGGTAAAGCCCGGATTTGAACCCAGAACATAGGATTATAGATTTAAAGTTGGAGGAGACTCAGAGTCCATCCTTTCCTTTACAGAGAAGGAATTGAAGGCCAGTCAGGGAGACTTTCCCAAGCTCACAGAGACAAGTGGAAATGCCAGGATTGGAACTCAGGTTCTCTGCCTCTAAATCCAGACCCTTTTCTAATTTGCCTCGATGCTTCAGAGCACCATTTTATTTTATTTCAACAGAAACCATGAGAATCACATATTGATGTTCAGAGAGCTGGAGCTCTCCAATCCCTGTCGAAGGGTTGAGCACTTTTGCTGAGCTCACCTCAAGCAGGGGCTGGATGGCCACTTGCCTACTGGGTTGCAGTGGGGACCCTGTGTTTTTTTTTTACCTGAAGGTTCATTGGCCTCTTACTTTCTTTGAAATTCTGTGGTTCTGTGAGTCAGCAAGCCTCCAAATTGGAACTTCCGTTGGAAAGTGACCCTTCATATCCTCAGCTGACCATTAATTAGAGAAATAGATGGGGGGCCTGACCCCCAGCCCAGACCTCAGGGCAGCCCAAGTGTTGCCACTAAAAACCACAGTGCCAGACCGGCATCCCATATCCCAAATCTCCCTGTCTGTTACGGCTCCCTAAAATCCTCAAGATGAACAATAAACTCAGATAAGTCACGTATCTTATCAAAAGTCACACAGGCAGTAAGTGACAAAACCAGGATTTGAACCCAAGTTTTCTAAACTAAATAGTCACAGCTCTTTCTACTAGACTACTCCAGAAGAAGGGCAGCCAGGTGACGCCATAGTGCATAGATCATAGGACCTGGAGTCAGGAAGACTCATCTTCCTGAATGCAAATCTGACCTCAGACACTTACTAGTGGTGTGACCTTGGGCAAATCACTTAACCTTGCTTGCCTCAGTTTCCTAATCTGTAAAATGAGCTGGAGAAGGAAATGGCAAACCAGTATCTTTGCCAAGAAAACCCCAAATGGGGTCAGAGTCAAACACGACTGAAATGATTGAACAACAACTCCAGAAGGTGACTGGATGATGAGAGGACTTAAAACCATGTAATACCAGTTAGTCAGTAAGCATTTATTAAGCTCCTACTAAGTGCCAGGCACTCAGTACTGGAAATACAAAGAAAGATAAAATACAGTCCCTACCCTCAAGGAGCTCCCAGTCTAACGGAGGAGAAAACATGCAAGCACTCTGTACAAACCAGCTATAGACAGGAGAGCCTGGGAAGGCACTAGAGTTAAGAGGGAAAGGAAAAGGCTTCCCAGAGGAGATGGAAAACAGAAGAAGCAGCAGGAACAGGATCTGAAATTTCAGTGAGGAGGCACAGCACCTCATGAGGCTGAGCTTGACAACAGCTTGACAGTGGGCTGCAAACTCAGCAGCCGCTAAAGAATGTGCGAAAATCTTGGAAAACTGTCATCTGTCCTTGGGCTGAGCAAACATGACTGGAACGCAAGTCTGAAGCCTGGAAAATACATACGATACAATATCTATCTATTTATCTAACTGTCTGTCTTTCTTACTCTTTTCTCTCTCTCCCTCTTTATATATATGTATATATATATATATGTATAGTTGTTGTTCAGTCATTTTCAGTTGAGTCTAAGTCTTCGTGACCACATTTGAGGTTTTCTTGCCAAAAATACTGGAGAGGTTTGCTGTGTCCTTCTCCAGCTCATTTGACAGATGAGGAAACTGAGGCAAACAAGGTTAAGTGACTTGCCTAGGGTCACACAGCTAGTTGTCTGAGGCTGCATTTGAACTCAGGTCTTCCTGCCTACAGGCCTGGTTCTCTATCCACTATACTACCTAGCTGCTCCTCGCTGGGGATATCAGTGCTATTTTTATTTGAGGAAAGTATTATATCTTTCAAGCTCCAGAGATAGTGGGAAAAAAGCATGACTGCACACATAAATCGGGAATTTATTTCTCCTCCCTGTTTGTCACTTTGGTCATTTGTTTGGGGAGGATAAAGTTTTCACCGACTTCCTTTCTTATGCCTGGCCAGGGTGGGATGCTCAGTTTTTACCCTGCATTAGTTGTGGTCAAGGGCTCAGTTTGGGCAGAAGGTAGCAGTTTGGCCAAGTGAACAATCTCTCTCCATGTGGGGAGCGAAGGGGTGTCAGAAGCGGAGGCTCAGCTGGAAGGCCGGCTCCCCAGAAGTCATCAGTTCTGATCTCCTTAGGCTTGTGTTGGGTTCCATCAGTGGTCATCCTTTGTAGGCACAATTGTTCAACCCAGGTTCAGTCGAAGGATCACAAATTATATTGGGATGGAAACACATTTCATATGTTCCTAATTAGACCTGCTTTATCCTGTGGGGACTTACTGACTATTCAGACTATTAGATGGACCATCATTGACACGGAAAAGGAATTCTACCTAGGTAGAATCAGTACAGATTGAATTTGAGGCCACCAGGTGGTGCAGTAGACAACCACGAGGCTTGGAGTCAGGAAGATCTGAGTTCAAAATGGCAGCCGACAACCCCAGCTGCAAGATCCCGGGCAAGTCACTTAACCTCTATTTGCCTTAATCCACCAGAGAAGGAAATGGCAAACCACTCCAGTGTCCCTGCCAAGAAAACCTCACAGACAGCATTGACATGCTGTGGTCCATGGGGTCACAAAGTCAGACATGACTTAACGATGTATGCATATGTGAATCTATTAACTTTATATTTATGCCATAGATATTTTAAAGGTATTGTTTTCCCAATTAGAAAACAAGTTCTTCATTGGTGAAAGGGAGAACATGAACATTTATTAAGTATCTGCTATGTGCCAGGCACTGTGCTAAGCATGGCACAGATCTCATTTCAGTTGTTCATTAAAACAACTTGTGAGGGAGGTGCTATTATGACCTCCACTTTATAAATCAGGAAACTGAGGCAGATAGTGGTTAAATGATTTGCCTGGGGTTACCCAGCTAGTAAGTGACAGAGGCTGGAAGTAAACTTATTGACCAACTAATAGTCGGTCCCCTCACTTTGCAGATGAGGAAACTGAGGCAGACAGTAATTAGGTGACTTGTACAGGGCCATCCAGCTAATAAATGTCTGAGGTTGGATTTAAACTCAGGTCTTCCTGACTCCAGGACCAGCATTTTATCCACTGAGCCACCTACCTGCCTCCACATTATATATATAAAGTAATTAAATACAAGGTAGTTTGGGAAGGGGCATTAGCCTTTGGGGGGGATCAAGAGAGGGTTCATGAAGATGCTGCTGCTTAGTAGCATCTTAGAGGAAGAGATAGACTCTATGAGAATCTTTGTTCCAGAGTGAGGGATACGGGCATGGGATAGCTATTCTAGATAATATTCTGGACAATTGTATCCAGAATATTATGGAATTTAGGGTGGGAATGGTTAAGAACAGAATTACAGAAGAGTCGGAAGGGACTCCAAAGTTCACCTGCTGCGACCTGTGCCTGAACAAGAATCCTCTATATTACCAAACCAAATGGGCATCTCCCTATGTTTGAGGACATCCGGTGAGGAGTGGAGACTCAGAAATGGCTTCCCTTCTCAAAAGATAGGACCCTTGTCTGGTCTTTAACATGGGTGTAGGCTCAATGACAACCTCCTCCTGTCCTTTGGATTACTATATTTTTTTCTAGAATGTATACTTGACTCTATACTTCAGCATTAAATTAATAAATATTTTATACTTCCAGAGAGCTGTGATTTCAGCATGGAGACCACCTTACATCGGTGGAGATCACAACTTTGCAAGCCTTCAGGTGATGGATCTTTGTGGGCTGCTGTGGCCCAAATATCTCTCACCTGGACACTGCCTTTCTGAGACTGAGCATGTCTACATGTCAGTGAGCTGGTTGGCAGACAGGGCATTCCTGGGTCCCCACTCAAAGCCTTCCTAGTTCGGTGGGACGTGGCAGTGTAATTTCCTAAGGCCTCCTCTATGTCACAATGAG